GATTTATTATGATTTATTTTATTCGTCAGGAACAGCTAGGCATCCATGAACAGTGACGTTGGTAGCCATGGACATCCACGTCTGTCTGACGGGACGAGAGGGGAAAAATGCAGATTATCCTCGACCAGAGAACGCTCAACAGATAATATATAGAACATTTTCACATGTTTAACAAATTAACAATGAAATTAATGTTAACATTAAGAACAATACGATTTCGGACAACCGTATTGTACTGACTGCGCAGTTGCACCGCAATGCTGAGCTCCTCGAATTTCTCTTTTGTTTCCGTCCGGCGGATTCCGCATTTTACCCTCACCCGCCACAGTGACAGTGCAGATGAAATTAAAACTGCGGAAGAGAAACACAGCGACGGTAGGACGACACCTTATTTAAAAAACTACCTGATACGCAAAGCAGTAAAAAAAGATTTTTAAATTATTTCATGATAATAAAGATTTAGTCATTAAAAATAAGACTAGCACTGTTAAGGGTACAGTCTGAGCCTTATGATAAAATTAGTTTGATACGGGACTACAGTTTTCGTTAGGTATGTTTTGTCCTTGCGCTCTGCATACGCGTTGAGCTTGCGCATGGATTTCGTAATATAATTTTTAAAACGCGCTCCTAATCACTTTTTTTTTGGTAAGGGGGAGTCTGTCCCTATTTCCGACGCCTGTGGTTACGTATATAGGCCTAACTACAGAAATAATATGAAACGGGCTTCACATGCACCCATTTAAATCTTTTGTTTTAGATTCTCTTTGTCTTGTGAATGCAGAAATAATCGAACGTGCTAACCTTTCCAACAGGATGAGATTAGAGTCTGATCAGAAAATTGTTTCTGTAACAAACATTTTATTGTAAACAATGGTGATGCTTTCTCTGCTTGGTATCTATGATTGTAAACGACCACAATTTGAAGCTGGTTTTGTATTTTAGAACAAAGGTTGCTCTTCGTTTTCTGTTAGAATGTTTGCCATCATAACAATTTTCGTGAGTAGGATATATATTCATTTATAAACCCACATTAGGCAGACTCCTGTGACGGGAATTTACCATGGCGCATAATGTGGAAATCCCGCATTATGAAGGATCTTTTTTAATTTGATTGAAACCTCAAAGCTCATCCCAGTGTTTTAGATTATAGGCCCATTACTGTATAATGTTAAATATCAATGTATAAACGAAATTTAAAATTTAAGTTTTAAGAAGTCCTTTTGTTTTCCCTCTAATTATAATCCCAACTGCCCTTTGGATTATCTTTTGTCAAAAACTCACTCAGAAATCCTCATCCAGTTATTTGTCAAAAAGGCACAGTCATGTTTTTTAAAAGCATTATGTAGTATAAAACGGCCCGCCTGTTTCTGCGCTTTAGAAGAAAGAAAGCAGTCAAGGGCGATTGTTGGTTTTCGTCACCGTCGCAA